GGGTGACGCTGCTGTCCGATCTCCTCTCGACGGGATTGTCGTGATCGTTGCGGTCGTGGCGTGGTTGTTGACCACGGACACCGTTGCTCGTTGCCGCCGATTGGGTCTCCCGCATCCTTCTGGCGCTCGCGTGGCTGGCAGGCACCACCTACACATGGGCGCCCATAGGCAACACAATAACAGAAGTGGACCAACAACAGCAACAACAACGACCACCAGCGAAAGCGTACAGGTTTAATTACAGACTCACGTTAAGCTCAGTATCCAGTCGGTTTTTCTCGCACTCACTGCAACTTCAACCAATTAAAAAGGTGAATAGGCATATCGTAAATGAATAGACTCAACAGCCCAGCATCCCGTCGGTTTTTCCCCCATTTTTCTCTGCAGACACTAGATTTGAACACATGTTCCTCCTCAACTGCTGTAGTGTGTTATCTCGAACAGGTACAACATCTTATGTGGCTGCATGTGTATGTATGTTGTCTTCACGTTAAAAACCGCTCCGATCTGTCTACCCAGCACCTCCATCTGTCCGTACCGATCAAACACTTGACGCAGTCGATTCCCGTGGTCACAGGCTAACTTACCCAAAATAAGGCATTTGTTTGGTTCTTGTGAATCAGTCTTCGGGGGTTTTCGGACGACAAGTCGACAAGAAGAAAACATGAACATGCATCGGAGAAAACAACTAACCCTGACTTCCGCCTTCCAGGAAGAAGACGCGGAGGAAAGGAGTGAGTGAGGAGGCATTTCTGCAAAGGGGGCGCTCTCTTCCGCACGGAGGTGCGGTGGAACCGTCGCGCCGTTGTCGGAAGCTGCTGATTGGACGGTTCAAATGGGAGTACCACGGGAAACGAGGCGTTCGACGGCACGCGGAGGGGGGAGGGCGTACTCGTGATAGGCATGCCTTAGCGGTTAGACCATTGACCACGCGTTTTCGAGAGGACGGAGCAGGGGGGGGAGGTCGGCGTGTGTGCATTGCTAACGGGAAGTTGGGTCTCACTAAAAAAGAAATGGAAATCACTCATCGACGGCCGTGCAGGGCAATTTGATAAGTCTCCTGCACCATTTCTATTCTCGCAACGCACTACATATTAAAAGAAAGCTATTGATGAGAGCTTTCATTATTTGCGCACACGTTAATAGCGATATTACAATTTTGAAGCAAGTTGTGCCAGGTCGAAGGACCTGCCGAAATTGATTATATAGATGAATCCCCGAAAATGGCAGCGAAAAACAAATGGCGAAAAATAACTTGCTGCTGCTATGTATTGTCCCATACATCCTCCCTCCACCGTCGAAACCCTTGTGAAGCGTGTCAATTCTCTCTATGCATACCTACATCAACCCTCTCTGTCTGCCTGTCTGTCTCTCTCCCTCTTTATTCTGTACCAACACCATCCAGACCACATCGCGATGGTACAGTACCATACAGCAGACGACACGCACCTAGCTGCCTCGCCAACGAAGAACCCAAGACGCTTATGGGGCTCGTGTTGCCGCCGGTCTTGTTCTTGTACTTGCTGCTGCGGTCGTCGTAGTGATGAGTGCCCCCACTGTTTGTTCTCGTCGCGCCGCTGACACCGGTCGCGTAGCTATAGTCGCTCGAGGCATGTCCATCATGATCCTGTACCTTCATCCCCCGCACAAGGAACACAGGAGAAAATGGATGGAGGGGGTGTACTCATGTCAACGCCTGCAGTAAGTGGGCGTAAGACCACTGACGGGGGGGGGGGGGTGCCGAAGAACAAGGTCTACATGCGAAAAATTTTTTGTAGTGTAACGGACAACACGCTGCACAAGTGAAAGCAATCTCCCGCACCTAGACCGACTTCCAACGGTCGTTTCCTCCACAACCCAACGGTCATTTTCCTCCACAACCCAATGGTCATTCTCCTTCACAACCCCAGAGGCTGCCTACTCCGACAAGGCTTTCGCCAGAACGATCTCTCGTAGAGAGGGCTAGCTGTCTTTCCTTGCCACGCTTCTTTTTTTTTTCGCGCCCCTCTTAGTTACTGGAGGCAATCGAGCTTTGAAAGCCAGTCTAGGTGGTGGGCGACAACTTGCACTTCTAAGGTATTTGAAGCCTAAGAACGATTTGAGCCAGGGGGCGCGGGCGGGAGGGCGCACTCATTTGTTGCATGCTTTAGTTGTTAGACCGTTGACCAAGTGTGTGTGCGTGGGGGGGGGGGGGCAAAAAAAAACTGGGCCGGGCGGGAATTTACCCCCCGAAAAACGCGAACAAAAAAGGAAAATACCCCCCCCCTCTCCACCAACAAATGCAATCGTAATCATGAGTAAAAAAACAAACAATACCCAAAAAACAATAAAACAAAATGCCCCCCCCCCCCCCCCCTTTTTGTCATTATCCA